ATAATTCTAGCAACTTCTGTTGGTGTTGAAAGTTTATCATCTTGGTGCAAGAATAACAGAATATGTGCATGTGAGAGTCCACGTTTTTTAAATTCAATGGTATAAATTGCTTAAAAAATTAAAAATAAATTAAATTATTATACTTACTAAAATTATATGATTTAAATATGGGCAAATTTCTTAAACTATCCTTATAGTTTAGTTAATTGACTAATTCTACCCTTACTGTTTACATATTGTCTTAGGGTACCCCTAAGTTTTCTGATAATTGACTAAATCCTCCTTACCATTAACGTTTGTTAGTGGAAAGAAGAAAAATACTATTTTACCCATTGTTTTAGTTTAAATTTGTAAGCCTCAGTTTACTATAGTTTGACAACATCAATTAACGGAATCATCACTGCAGTTGTTGTTGGCTACATTCATCAAAGCAGAAAATGGAATCATGTCCCTGAATTTGAATGGAATCGTTGCCATTGAACATGTTCTATTCTGAATTGGGGGGACAACTCGTACTGTGGCAACTCAATATCCTTCTCTGAGAAAGTTAATTCCCAAGGCCATATTCCACCTCAAGGTAACATCAGGCAATAAGTCATCTTCACAAGCAATCTTATACCCCATAAATAAAATTGAAGTGAGATGGGTGGCTTTTGTTACCCTCTGTCGGCTCTATTTTTCTTATTTACAATTTCCTATAATGTATTGGAGATGTAGAGAGTTTGAAGGAGCTGAAGAGGGCTATTGGTTTTGGGTTAGTAACACTGGAATCTTTGCCTCAAGGAGCTAGGAACAAGTTTCCTCCACCGAGATCGCCATCAGAAATCCCTCATTGCCTCCTTGTTCTCTTCCTCCTTTGCTGCCCTATCAATCGATCTTGTTTTTAATTTGTTTATAAAACTTTGAATCATCAACTGCAATGTTGGTTGGGAGGTATACAGAATCATCAGCTGTAGCTATTGATCACACTATCTGATTCTAATCATTGGACGAGGCTGAAAGTGGTGTCATAGCTGATGTATGGAGCTATTGTGATTGTAAGCTCTGAGCCCATGTACAAAGGATGGTTAATGTGTTTATTTCTGATTGGGAGGTACAACTCCTATTACACTTATACATGGGAGGGTCAGTCATGAATGGTTCATAGGATTTAAAAGCCTCAACAGCAGAAAAGGAGTTCAACCAATCTACAAATGTATAGTCTTTGGAGGATGTTTTGATCAAGGACTTGTGGATGTGAGGAATCACACCTCCACCAGCTACAATTTCTTTGATCAGTATATAAAGTTCTTCACCCCCTCAAATTGCAAGTTGTAGATGCCTTGGTGTAATACATTTAACCTTCAGATCCTTGCTGGCATTGCCTGCCAGTTCTAGTTCCAAGACTTTTGCAATAAGATACTCCAAGATTGTTGCCCCTACTCTTCCATTAGCTGCAATCCGGCCTGGACTTCAGGAGACAATGAATACAGTCAACAGGGAACTGCAAGCCTGCTCTACAAGATCGAAAGACATGTTTCTTCTTGTCCATTTTGGTGTTCAGAGCTGATGATGTAATTGGACCTTTCGCTTTTCCCGACATCTTTCCCACCAAAAAGATTATAGTTTACAACGATTTGGGAATGGAAAACAAACTCAAAAGTAGTTGTAGAGAGGGAGAGATGAAGAGCGTCATTAACTCCAGATAGGGAGACTTTCTCCCAAAAATCACTACAAAAATGGTAAAAAGGCCGAAAGGGTATATCCGAATTTTTGAAAAAAGTATCAATTACATGACAAAATATGACAGAAAGTTAAGGATGTGAAAGGTTTTAGACAATTATCAAAAACATAGGGGCATTCTAAGACAATATATAAACAATAAGGGTAAAGTTAATCAATTAGCTAAACTATAAGGGTAGTTTAAGAAATCTACCTTTTGAATATCTATGAATAGAATTAACAAATAATTATAATACATGCAATGACTCTTCCCAAATGTAAGAAATTCTTCTTCAAATCTCTCATCATTTGGTCCAATTTTATCTTGAAGATGCGAGCAACAATATCTTGTCTTCTTTTTTTTTTTAGCCCAGGTATGATCTCTACAAATTTCTTTACTTCATTCCATTTTGGGTTATATGTAAATGTAAGAAAGAGATCAGGCGATTCAACCCATTTACAGATGGCCATTGCATCATGATAATTTTGAACCATATATCTTGGACCTCCGGTGGAATATGATGGCAATATGATGCGTCATCCTACAAATGATGCATTAGTGTCTCTTACGGTAATTGTATCTCTTATACCCTTATAAAGTCCTACTCAAACATTTGACTATTATTCTTGAAATAAGTCAACCTGTTCTCTTCTATATATGACTGTGCATCAACAACAAATTCATGAAACAAATGTCCACCTCAAATTATTGTTTGTCCTTCAAAATGCCTTTGTTGCAATTTAAATGCATAATATTAATGCATGCTCATCTTTGTGTATTTCATTGCACGCTCATTTTGAGGATTTGTTAATAACAAATCAACTTTAAATCCATCATTTGCATATGAAAATAATAATGGATACTGCATTCCCATAAAAATTGGATGCAATTCATTAATTCTCCTGAGACTACCTGATATTTCTTCAATAATAACATCCCGGTGTGCATCGTATTCATCTCCATTTCTAACAATAATTGCTACAATTTCAGATGTAGTAGGTAAGTTGTATTACCGACCATCTTTTCGACGATTACCAATGAGTCTTAATCGAATTGGAATCAGATTTTCTTCATTAAATCTATCCTATGCCATTTTGAATACCTTTGAAAGGGCATTATGTTCATGTAACATATTTAACAACCATTCAACAATTTCTCTATCCAACTCATTTATGGGTCTAGATGTAGTAGGCACGTTAGGTAAGCACACTGAGTGAGCACGTAATAGCTGTGTGACACATGTCTTAGTTAATGCATCTTTCATCCAAACATTTTTGCTCCATTAGACAGAAATTGTCCATTATTTTATTATCTTTGTCAAAATAATTAAAAATAAAAACAATAAAAAAGGAAAACCTAAACGTGTTGGGAATTGGGACTCAATTACGCTTTCCTTTTTCATTGTTTTTTTATTTTTAATTATTTCGACAAATATAATAAAATAATAGATAATTTTTGTCTAATGGAGCAAAAACGTATGGATGAAAAGCGCATTAACTAGGACATGTGTCACATAGCTATTATGTGCTCACTCATTGTGCTTACCTAACATGCCTACTACATCCGGACCCCTCATTGGTACCCACATTATCATTTACTGCATTTATCCTATTTGATACTTTATTGGATGTATCATATATATAGAGTTGTACAAATTTTGGTCATTTTTCCACGCAATGGTAATAAAGATCTAATCCTGTGATGGTTCGTAGTGAGATAATATAATTAATAGTAAACTTACTAAAATTAATTGTTAATATGTTCATAATATTTATTTATAATTAATATAAGTGATTATGGTTATCGAAAAATAATTAATTTTTATAATTAATTAATATAATTCATACAAATATGTATATTAATTCATAAAAATATGTATATTAATTTTAAATAATTAATATAATTCATAAAATATGTATATTAATTTATTAATTAATATGACTAATAATAAAAACTATAATAAAAATAGAAATATTGATACTCATAAAAGTTTATGATTTATTATAACTTATTAATTGCTAAGAAATTACTAATAATATCAAAATTAATGTCAATATTAGAAAATAAACTTAATTTTACTTCAATAATTTTTCCAATGAAAATATTTAATTAATTATTAATTTTCCAGTAATAATTGACCAAAGTAAGTGAAAATATTTATATATACTTATTGCTAAATAATTAATGCTCATATCAAAATTAATTATATATATATATGAATAAATATTAATGATTATTGGAATAATTACTTATATTACTGAAATTATAACATAGATATTAATATTAATGGTTTGAATAACAATTATGCTAATAATATATTAATTACTAAAAATAATATTAGTAATTATAATTGCTGATATTAAATATTATTCATTATATATCGATAATGTTAGTAATATCAGTAACTAACATTATTAATGAATCTGAATATTAATTACTATCATTACCTGTAATAATTATTATCATTACTATCATTAACAATATATATTATTTATATTGTGATTAGTATTAAGAATAATTAATAATTACTAGGAATGATAGTAATTAATATTAAATTATGATGATAGTAAGCCTATCATTACTATCATAATATTTTAATAATTACTAGTAAATCTATCATTATTATATTGTCAATAATAATATTTATTGTGATGATGATCAACGTGTCATGCAAGAGGCCTAACCATACCGTCAAACATGGATAGCCATGATTATGATAGACGTGGTATACAAAGGAGCCTTATTGATAGGCTGTCCAACATGGATAACCAAAGTTTTCTCGCTTTTTAGTTTTCATGTTCTGATCATCGAGTGCATAAAAAATGATTTCCAGATTGCTGCAACTAAACAAACACCTTGATTTCTTAGGTTATTGGACAAATCTCGTGTTTGGACTATAGATTTTGTGTTCTTCAACAGGTGGGTTTATGTTCTCTCATCTATTTAGTCTGCGTGTTAAATCATTTATAATCTTTATCTTGGATTAAGATTTTTGACATATTTATCAAAAACTCAGTGTCTTTAGCCATCTCCCTCTTTATGGGTTCTCGCAATTTGGCAACAACAAAAAATCTTGGTTTGGCTTTCATTGTTGAGCCCTTGGTTGGTCATACTTCTTGTAAATATGAATGATATTGGAAATCGATGACTCTTGCTCCTTATAGCCTCGTTTGATCTAATTTTATCAAGTTTGGCCATTGATTTGTCAAGTTTTTGCTTCCCTCTGTGGTGAGGACGTGGATGGTGTAGTTAGTCTTGTAACTGGAATTCTTTTGGAGGCTCTTCAACAGATAAATTCATGATCTTGCGTAGGACAACTCGCATCAAGCATGTGGCTTTCCGCCGATTAGTACCACCCATTGTGATTGCTCTCTGGGGAGTTCTGTTGCTGGTTTTCCTCTATCAAATTTATCATTTCACATGGGTTTCTGATGAAAATTATGTGTTGAGCTATAGAACCCATGATTGGAAAGAAAAACCCAAGCTCCCTGAACGTACCAATTTGTCAATTTCATTGGAGAAAAGGAATGGGTTGCCACCTAGAAACTTGGATCTTTTCCCAAATCTAGTAAATGACCATATAGTGATTGTTCTGTACGTTCACAACCGACCTCAGTATCTAAAGATAGTTGTAAAAAGCCTGTCTGAGGTAGAGGGTATAGGTGAAACTCTATTGATAGTTAGCCATGATGGGTACTTTGAAGAAATGAATAAGATAGTTGAAGGAATTCGGTTCTGCCAAGTAAAACAGATTTTCGCTCCATACTCACCTCACTTGTTCTCCAATAGCTTTCCTGGTGTCTCCCCCGGAGACTGTGAAGGTAAATATGATCTATCATCCAAGAAGAACTGCAAGGGAGATCGTGATCTGTATTGGAACTACAGGTCTCCAAGAATTGTGTCGCTAAAGCATCATTGGTGGTGGATGATGAACACAGTATGGGATGGGTTGAATGAGACTATGCAACATTTGGGTCATATCCTCTTCATAGAGGAAGACCACTTCATTCTTCCTAATGCATATCGGAACATCCAACTACTTACCATGTTAAAGCCTCAGAAATGTCCTCGTTGCTATGCTGTAAATTTGGCTCCTGCTGATGTGAGCTCAAGAGGAGAAGGTTTGGCGAGTCTGTTTGTGGAGAAGATTGGAAATGTTGGTTATGCTTTTAACAGGACTGTTTGGAGGAAGATCCATTCAAAGGCAAGAGATTTCTGCTCATTTGATGATTACAACTGGGATGTAACATTGTGGGCTAAGGTTTATCCCTCCTTTGGTGGCCCTGTTTATACTTTGAGGGGACCTAGGGCAAGTGCATTTCACTTTGGTACTTGTGGCTTGCATCTGGGACAAGAGGAGAAGGCTGCTTGCTTTAATAATGGATCCGTGAACATAGTACTAGAAAAGGCTGATAAGATTGTGAACATCAACTCAGATTGGGAAATACATTTGGTAAAGCATAAAACACTGCATCAACCTGGATTCATGGGTTGGGGTGGGTGGGGGGATGTGAGGGATCATCAACTGTGCTTAGATTTTGCTGAAATGTATCACTCAGGCAATAACCCAAAACCTTGATTGAAAATTAAACTCTCAGTGTTTTTAGTAACAAATTTATTGCAACTGGTGAGATATGGGTTACCTTTGCCTTGAGTATTCCTTTTATGATAATAAATAATCATTATTGTTATTTAACAATAATAATAATTATTATTTATTTTAACTATTATAATGATAAATCATTACTACCATTATTGTTATTTATTACAATATTATTATAATAACAATTGTAATAAAAATAATAAATTTATTATATTTATTGTTCAAATTAACTTTTTTTTTTGAAAAAAATTATTAATCAATAATGACTGTTATTATTAACAATAATAATATTAGTAACAATTATTGTTAATGATATAATTAACAATTATAATATTATTAATGATATAATAATATTGTTATTGTTAATAATAACAATAAATATTAATGATAGTAATGATTATAATAGTCATTAATAATTAATAATACCGTACTTATTAATAATCATTATTGTTAACAATAATCAATCATAATAATAATTATATGATTGATTATTATAATCATTATTAATTATATCCAATAAATAATAATTTATATCATTATTATTAATAATTTAATTAAATAATGATTGAGTAACAATCATTATTATTATTAAATTATAATGATAATTTAATATGATGCTTATTATTAAATCATTATAATATCATTATAATTTAATGATTGTTAATCATTATCAATAATAATTAATAATCATTATATCATATTAATTATTAACTAATAAACATTATTATTAAATAATTAAATTAATTATATAATTATAATTATATTAGTAATTACTAATCAATGATTATATATTCATGTTAATATAATTGTCTAATTTAATTATTATATAATTATATAAATCATTAAAAATTAATTGTTGTTATTAGAGTAATAACATTAATATAATGATTATTATAATTATTAATAAATTTTGATTTATATTACTTTAATATAATCATTGGATAATTATATTAATAATAATGATTATTGATTATATTAATTGTTATCATTATTATTAATGATTATATAATGGTTAATTTTGATTTATTATCATATAAATGATAATATAACAATAACAATATTATTATCATTAATGATAATCATTTATTATCATTATATAATAAATTAATCAATGATTATTTAAATTAATCATTAATGATAATTAATGTATATAATTATAATGATAATTAATTATTAATAACATTATATAATTATCATTGATTAATAACAATAATTATTGATTATTAATAATCATTAATCATTAATATAAAAACAAAAATATCATTAATTTGTTAATAATAATTAATTATTATATGCATATTATCATTAATTATACTTAGTACAATTGTTTCATTATTATTAATAATGATTATATAATTGTTAATAATTATAATAATAATTATTATCATTATTATTAATAACATCTGTTGTATATAATGATTACATTATAATTAATTCATGAGTAATAACGTGATTAAATTATATTTATATTATTAATGATTATTACTAATGTATCATTGTTAATGTTATTATTATCATTAATATACATTATCAATTACTGTAATATGTATTATTGTTAATTATTTATCTTTGGAATGATTATTGATATAGTTAATAAAATTATATGCATGAGAGAGTTTATATGTATATGCATATAAACTTATTAATGTATATCTGTAATATATATCTGTAATATTAATGAAAGTTCTGATGTTTATTTGTTCATGTATATAATTTTACACGAATTTATATGATTATTTTTAATAAAGAATTAATGTTTATATGTATATACATATTGTTATCATATAACTTTCATTATTGATTTTGAAATCATTAATGATTATTAATGTTTAACTGGCATTAATTTAATTAAAATATTGTTAATTATATTTATTATATAATTAACTGATTATTCCAAGAATTTATTATATTAAAGTACGGTTGTCACCCATTAACCTCAATTCCAAATCCATAAATCACTTGGCAACAAAAAGTATTGTTCAATAAATTTGATATGATATTCTTATAAATTATAGTAGAAACAATAACAAATAAGTAAAATTATATGAAAATATAAACATAATATTAATTAATAGGATTAAGAAACATGGTTCTATTCAATAAGAGTAACATTTATACTTTCCCTAAAAAAATATCAACAATCAATATTTACAAAATCTCCTATAGAATAAGAAGGATATTTATCCATATCATTTTGCTTTATTACCGAGCATGTTTTTACTTAATCTCCTATAGGGATGATACATTAACTCATTACACACATCAAGTGCCCATTCATCATCTAGTATTCTATCTGTCTCTACCATGTCTTCCATTGCTACAATAGCCAACATGTCTTCCACTACTTAGATTTGGAAAGAGAAAGAGTGTGGCAGTCCTCCTAATACCTTGCAAAATGTGTTTTTCTTCAACCAATTCAATTTCGAAAGCAGCTTGAATGAATTTTCGTATTTCTTTTTTCTTATACTTGTCCTATATAGGTTGTGCTATTGGCTTCCATTCATCTGATAAAGATTTCAAAAGTATTTGGATCCTCCTTTCATTGGGAAGATGTATATTATTACAACTTAATTGTTAGCACATGTCACTAACAGTTCCTATATGTTGCATCATGTTGTGTTCTGGCTTCATCTTTCAGTTTTCAACATCATAAAGGGTAGAGATTTCCACTACAAATATAAAAATTAATAATCAATGAGTGTAAATATTATAGTATAAATTAAAACTTAATGAAGGCATCATAATAATATATAAAATTAAAAATTAACAGTAATTATAATTTAAGCTATAAATAGCATAAAATTAAAATTAATAACCAAAAAATACATTTAACAGTAAATAACAGTAATTAATTAACAATAATATATACTTATCATATATATACATATTTAATGAAGTATTAATTTTTGTAATTAATTTAGTAAAAATAATGGATAATTTCCTACACTTTTTTATTTATTTGCAAGTTTTTGTGGTTTTATATAATTTTGGTGATATTCTACAATTTTTATTTTATGATTTTGTTTTTCAACTTCTATAGTTTCTATAATTTGAAAATAATTTTTTATTTTGTGTGCAATTTCAATTATATTCGTTTAATTGTAAGTAAATAATTTTTAAATGGTAAGTAGAAGTAATTATAATTATGGTATTTTAAAGTGTAATTAACAGTATTTTGATAACTATAGTAAGTTATTTTATAATTACAGTATTTTAATACATTACTATAAATACATGAAAAATAATGTAGTATTAATTAACAGTAATAATATTTTCAGTAGTTCAAAATTTTAATAATTATATTGAATTTTTAGTTTTGATATTAGTTATAATAAATTATAATAAGTATATTCAGTAATTATTAGTTATTTTGAAATATAATAAATATTCCAAAATATACTTGAAATGATAATAAATATTCAGTAATATTTTGATTTTTTTTATATTGATATTCTTATTTTTAGTGTCAATAATTTCAGATTTCAAAACAATATTTAAAATCAATTATCATTAGAATTTTCAGATCTTAATACTACTAATTTCACCAATTATAGAACTACTCTAACTAATTCTCCCAATAATTATTTAATTTTTTGTATTTTGATATTAACATTTTTTATTTTCAATAATTTCAGATTTGAAAACATTATTTTAAATCAACCTATTCTGGTTTTATTAATTGGTAATTAATTAATGACATTAATTTCTGAAAATGTTATAAATTGAAAATAATAATTACTCATGACAATAATTAAAATAAGTAATTTCAATAACCATTAACAAACTTAAGTAATTTACTATTTGTAAAAAGAATATATTTTTAAAATTGTAACTGAATGATTTTTAGTAGTAATTATAATGTAAGTTATAAATAGCATAAAAGTAAATTTAATTACCAAAAAATACATTTAATTACATTTAACAGTAATTAATTAACAATAATATATAATTATAGTATATATACATATTTAATGAAGTAGTAATTTTTGTAATTCATTTAATAAAAAAATAATGAATAATTGAAAGTTTTAATATATATATATATATATATTATGTTTTTATAGTTTATGTTTTTGTTACATATTATATTATTATCACATTTTTCTATTTTCTACCATCTATAAAATTTCCTGTGTTTTTTATTTATTCGGAATTTTCTGTGCTTATCTATAATTTTGGTGTTAATTAATTAACAGAAAATTACATTTATTTATCAATAATTAACAGTAATTAAATTGTAACAAAATATTATGTAAAGAATTAAACTGATATAGGTCTTGATAAATAATTATTAATGGTATGTTAAAATGTAAATATCGGTATTTTGATAATTATTAATGCTTTTAATGGTACATGACCAAATACCATTGTATTAATTATTAATGGTATTTTAAAATTTTAATTAACCGTATTTTATTAAATACACTTAATGTTTATGATAATTAACTATAAATTAAAATTTTACTATAAATACAATAAAATTAATGCATTTATTATTTAACAGTGCATCATACAACAATTTACAGTAATTAATTTATAATTACCAGAAAATTTAATCTAAATAAAATTAATACAACAATTTACAGTAATTATTTTATAATTATCAGAAAATTTCACTTAATTAAAATTAATTAACATTGCATCATACAACAATTAACAGTAATTTTTTATTTAAAAAATTTACTAATTGTAAAAATAATATATTTTAAAAATTGTAACTAAATGATTTTTAACAGTAATTATAATTTAAGCTATAAATAGAATAAAATTAAAATTAATTACCAAAAATACATTTAACAGTAATTAATTAACAAAAATATATAATTATCATTGGAAAATTTATTTCTGTAATTTTGAAATTATTTTTAACACTGAATTTATTTTTGATATTATCAGTAACATTTTGACAATAACTAGTTATTGATATTTACAGTAATTTTGGTAAATTTTTTAATAAAAAAGCCACTTTTGGTAAT